GTGTGCTTGTGTGCTGTCGGCTTGTCCTTTTGTTGCTTTGCCACATGCTACGCAAGGGAAGGGGCCATTGATGAATTGACCTCCGGACGGATCCCAATGTCTGGGTGGGGCATCTAGATCATGACACAGGGCAGTGCTACCCTGTTTCGGTCTGTTTTGGACTCGACACAAGGCCACCCGGGGTTGTGACTTGGTCGGATCAGATTTGATCTGGCTTCCATGGCCTTGCCATCCTTTTCCTGCAGATTCTCTCCCATGGCTCCTTGCATGGCCCTCTCTCGGCGTCGCCCGTCCAATAGCCATTTCCTCTCTTGATGAAGCGGTAACTCACGGGCTCACACGCACCGGAAAGTGGACAAGTTGAAAGCGGACACATAGCGGACAAGCGACGACCGGTGGTTGTTAGCGACAACCACCTGCCAGGCGACTTGCTCTCGCCCTTGACCGCAACCCATCACACGAAGAGACACACACGCACGGCTGTTGACATACCCGTGTCCTGCATGGTAGAGAGAGAGAGAGAGAGAGAGTTTGAGAGAGAGAGAGTTTGAGAGAGAGAGAGAGAGAGAGAGAGAGAGAGAGAGAGAGAGAGAGAGAGAGAGAGAGAGAGTTTGAGAGAGAGAGAGAGAGAGAGAGAGAGAGAAACTTGAAGAGGGAGAGAGAGAGAGATTTAGAGAGAGATTTAGAGAGAGAGAGATTTAGAGAGAGAGATTTAGAGAGAGAGATTTAGAGAGAGAGAGAGATTTAGAGAGAGAGAGAGAGAGATTTAGAGAGAGAGAGAGAGAATCTTGAAGAGGGAGAGATATGCTGGGGATCGAGAGAGAGATTTTGAGGGAGAGAGGGTTGAATTGGTGAAGTCTGTGGCAGATGTATCTCTCTCTGGATACATCCCTTTTCGCCTCTCTCTCCCTGTTCTTGCCTTTGTTTTCCCGTGTACTCACATCCCCTGCCTGTTCATATCTCTAAACATATCTCACTTTTACCCTCTCCCTCTCCCTCTTCCCTTCGTCTCATTTTGTCTGACAAAAAGACGGTGAGTTGGCCCAGCAAATCATCAACAGAAAAAACAACAACCACGCACACCTCTCTGGCCAAACGTCCACACCACCACCCCATCTCTGGATATACGTTATACTTTCCGTTGGCCAAAACTGTCAGATTGATAGTGTCTCTGCATGAGAACGCACACCACATCTCTCTCTCTCTCTCGCTCTCTCGTATTTTACGGCAGCTCACGTCGTCGTCCTCTTCATCGTCTCGACGGGGCCGTGTGCG